AAGAAACAGTACATTTTGATTAACTTGATTATTCTTTCCATTTTTCGATTAATTGTTCTATTATAAGTGACATCGGCGATGTAGATATTACAACGATTTTAAGTTTACTTATTTCAAACGGGCAACATATTCTTTATCGGATCGACATATCGTTCTAAAACGTTTTCTTTTTCAGTATTTGAATGACAGAAGTGGGTTTTCCTATTTAGTCTGGTTTTTTCCTACCCCCAGCTGAGACGCTCTGCTATTAAAATTCGCATGTGGACTGAAGGTTTTGTTCAATAATTACTTGAAGTCAATTTTCACATTGTTCTATTATTAATGCTGACCCGACTTTGCCAAACCACACTTAATTGGTCAGGCGCTGTTGCCCATCCATGCCGTTTTTGCCGAACGCCTATATTGAAGCGTAAATGGGGCGTATGCGTAATTTAAAAGCATTTAAAATGCCATAAACAAGTGCGTGTTCATATCATTTGCTAATTTGTCGTTACCTATTAATGCGTGTGCCATAATTGGCAATTAGTTAATGCTTGTCTGGTGCCTTATTCTACTTCTGCTGGCTATACGTGCCATAGCAACACACACCGCCACACAACTTTGTACAGTAAGAACAATATGTTAGGCACCTTATGGAAGGAAATACGGATGCCTGGGAAACATAGGCAGAAATATTTTGATGCTCAGAGCCAAACTGCAGCCTGGGTATGCCAAGCTGAGATGGCTCCTCCGTTTTTTCGTTTTTATTGTAGTTTAAATGTCAATCAATCATTCTGCTATATAAATATAACATATATACATATGTATATATTGGTATGTTTGAATATGAGTGTAGACAGTCAATAGCAGAGACAGCACTCAAAGAGGCGGCATTCAAAACTATATCAAAATTCACAAACGGCAATCCATTCAAACGTTTACTGACTGACTGACAATCTGACAGACTGACAGACTGACTGATTGACTGTCTGCTGCGAGAGTAATAGCTCGTGTGAGTGAACTCTGACGTCGGACACACAGAGGGACAGCAGCGGAATCGAGCTTGAACCGAACACGGACAGCAAACATTTCAATCGGATTTTGAGCAATTTCAATTCAGACTCTCACTCGCACACACAAAACAATTTGCATATGAGCTCGGCAACAAAAAACGAGAGGAAATAACGCCAACATTTGCGCCTGCAATGGCGGCGACTTACACACGCACGAGCATACACACACACACACACACACACACGCACACATAGCAACCATTTCCGTTTCCGCACGTTTGACGTTGGCAATCGCAGACAAAACAACCAGAATGAAAATAAAAGAAGGAAAAAAGGGCACGACACCCGCAAAGAAATGAAGTTTGAAACTTTCCCTCAACAGAAAAAGGGCTGGCAGATCCGCACTTGCCACACCCCCTCCCGCTCCCACTCCCTCCACTCCTATGTGCCTACATAGGAGTATGTGTAGACATAGACGCGTCGCCAATTGCGTCTGAGGCATGGCATTTAAAAAGCGTAGCCGTGGCAACAATTTAGACAGACTCCTATTGGAGCTACCTGTGGCACCGAAATCCCCAAACACGCTACTGGGCATACATATAAGCACAAATCCTCGGCAAAGTCACGTTCCTTCTTCGAGGGTATTGCCGGTGTTTTAACTATTTGCATAATATTTGCACAAATAATTGAATTTAATTTTTAGCGTGCAAGTTCTCCTTTGTTGTTTCCACCAGACTTATGTGTGTACAAATGTGTGTTCATGGCAGGCGAAAAGTCTGTTTGGGGCGCAAGTCTGTACCTTTAGCAATTGAACTCATTTCTTGAGTGTTAAACTCGGCGTGAAATTGGCAGGCGACCAGACCCCCAAATAGCAAATGGCAGCCTGTCAGCCGAGGAACTTAAAGTTGTTGGCGTGGTTAACCATGTGTTAAATAAAAATAAATTTACGGAAACATGCTATTCCAAATATTTTAAAAATTTTCTTAGATTATGATTTAATCCGCCTTTTTTTAGTTTTAGTTTTCATCGCATTATTTTTAAATTTATGATTTCACATTTATTCTTGTGTTAAAAAATCAAATTTACTGAAACATGGCTATTCAAAATATTTAAAAAATTTCTTAACAATAATCTTGGATTTGGATTTATTTCGCCTCTTTTTAGTTTTTCATCGCATTGTTTTTCAATTTATTGATTTCACACTTCTTGGACATTTTGCAGACACATGTATAGGGCATACACCAGTTAATTTATTTACACATTCATTTATTTATAACGTCCTATCACTACTCCTTCCACGGTTTTTTAGGGCCACACTATAGTCACTTGTGAAGATATTGCCGTAATTGTTCATTAAGTTAATGGTGCCCAATTTCATATTGAGAAATCTTTCGTAATACCCGAGGGTGGTGCATCATTGGTGGCACGCAAATATTGCCATGGATGACCAAATGCAAAATGAATAGAAAGTGCTTTCTTTATTTGCTGACGCTATGTCTGCACTCGTACTGTTCCCAACGATACTAAAAACCATTTTGTAAATAGCAATGTTCGCAATGGAAGTATTTTAAGATATAAAATTATCTTAAAAATGTGTATGTATATGTTGAGCTACCAATATTTTTTGGCAACTGTTTGGAATCTACTATATATTGAAGCAAGAGAGGGCTGCAGACCTAATTATGCTACAAGTATATTATTTACCTTATTGATGTGTACATCTACCAAACAATAATTGACTTGGGATGAACTATCTGCCGCTGTGCCTAAATTGGCATTTATTTAAATATATCTATATAGTAAGCAATTTTTATACCCTGTACCCGTAGGGTAAAAAGGGTATATTAGGTTTGTGCAAAGTAACATGCAGAAGGAAGCATCTCCGACCCCATAAAGTATATATATTCTGAATCAGCATGACGAAAGAAATCGATCTAGACATGTCCGTCCGTCTGTCCGTCTGGATGAACGCAAGGATCTCAGAAACTATAAAAGCTAGAATAACCAAAGTTGGCATCCAGATTCTCCTAGGTCCGAGAAAGGACGAGTTTATTTATTTATTTTTTTTAATTTTCCGCCCTTTCCTCCGCTACAGAATTTCGTCGATGGCGTCCACATTTCATTTATATAATTCGGTCAATTCTAAGAAAAGTTATTAGCGAAACAAATTTCCTACAGTAGAACACCCCCAAACTGCAGCAACAAGTTCGCTCTTCTTCTTCCTCTTTTTGCTGCTGCTATGGGCGCATATAACTCAGTGACGGAAGTTTACCTGGGTACAGGGTATTACACTGTCGGGCTTGCTCGACTGTAGCGTTCTCTCTTGTTTAAATTGTCTTTGTAAACTAAAAGCTGCAAGTAGCATTTGCGGAATCTCTTTTTAATTTCTTTACGAAATATATGTATCGGCTATCATTTTATACGCTAATTTCCGCAATCTCAAAAATATAATCAATAGTACAGTAAGTAAATGACATCGTCCATATAAATCCTTTGAAACTAGCCTTCATTCTATAAATACAAAGATTGAATTATTGGAGCACATTTCGACTCTCGACGTAAAATCGATGATAATTTTGCTTAACCATACCCGCAGTCGTTTGACAAGCGACATGCAACCACTTAAAGTTGAATATATTTATGTAAGTGCTTACATAACTGCGGTCTATATGCATACACGTACGAGGAGGAAAAGAAGTATCGCCACTTATCAAATCAAAGCGGAGCAGTAGTTGGAGCTAGAAATGTTAGGAAATGAATGCTACTCGAATAAATGCGTTCATTTAACTTGAAATGCAACTTAAGAAATGAAATGAAAAGCTACGTGAAGTTGTAGCTGAGGAAAATCCTTAAAAGCGACAAATTTGTGTGTGTCAGCAGACATACAAATATACGTATGTATGTGTGTGCTTACTACGTGAATGTATTTATGTGTGTGTGTTGTTACAAGCCAGAATCTTGCCAGTTCCTCATACGCCACGTTGCACTTATTTCACTCGCTTTAAGCGCAGCAGCTGCAACAACAACCACAAGTTCGGGGCACGTTAGGTAATGCACTCGTTGGCTGACTGGCTGGCAGGCAAGCTGGCAGACTGGCGGACTGGCGGACTGAGGCAGCTGCGTCTGCAGTCGGCGACTTAGCGCTCTGACTTAACTTGGCAGGGATTTACGAGCCGGTGCTGTAGCTGGCAGAGCTTGGCTGGCTCGTACATATGTACTTACATTTATGTGTGTGTGTGTTGTTCCTCCATCTGCTTGGCTTTTTAAGTTGGACTAGTCGCTGGCTAAATAAATCCATGTCGCTTAAGTTGTCGTGTGTATGTGTGTGTGTGTGTGTGTGTGTGTGTGTGTGTGTGTGTGTGTGTGTGTGTGTGTGTGTGTGTGTGTGTGTGCTATTCATGTATGTATTTGTCATTGCCTTGCATTTAAGTTTAACATTGATGCATCGCATTGTGCATAATTAAAATGAACATCAGAGGCAGGAACAGCAAAGTAACTGAACTCGAAGACAGACAGCCAGGCGTGCTGATGCTTTTGTTGTATTTGTCAGCTAACAAGAAGGGTATTACATGACATAAAATAGGGCTGAGCAAAAATCAGCAAGGATTTTACAGAAAGCTGTGTACAACGGAGTTTGTAAATTAACTAGAAAATTACGGAAATCTGTTAAAGGGATTTTTAGAAATGTTTCAACATTAATATTTATCCAAAGTACCCAAATTCTATATCAAATGTTGTCAATAAAATAGACACATTTTTGCGAATTTATTTATTATACTCCCGGATTTAAGTATATGATTTAGTAACTTTAGAAACATACGTTGTATGATGATTAAATTATTGCACCGATTGACAGCTATTCCAGCGAGATATAGCACCGTCACTCAAAATCACCGTAACTCAGCTCCCGGAGCACTCATTTATGGTTATGGAATTTATATATTTCTTATTTGTTTAAGGAAATCGATCAGATCTAACCAGCTCTTGCCCTCTTCTTCTCTTTCACAGAGCATTTGTGGACAACACGCACTTGCAGACTCTCCAGTTGAACTACAACCCACAACTCAGCGACATACCCATGCGTCTGTTCCAGGGGAATCCCAACATATTGGAGGTCTATATGCAGAGTAACAGCCTCCGCACACTCTACTCAGCGCAGTTTCCCGTGGATCAGCTGCAGAAACTCTACCTGGGCGACAATCCGCTGCAATGCAACTGCTCGCTCCTGTGGCTCTGGCGCCTGGTCACGGGAAACTTTGAGGGAGCGGAACCACCATTGCAGCACTCCCCAGGAGCCGCTGTTGCCGCTCTAGCCAAGGAGGAGGACAGCACGACGTCCGCGAACGATGGCGTGGCCGCCCTAGCAGCCTACATAGCTGAGCAGCACATAGCCAATGCATTGCACACCACCGAACCGAGCGCTTACGATCAGAGTCTGGAGGCAGCCGCGGCGGCCAGCAGCAACTACTTGCGCCTTGACCGGCAGCAGATTGGATGCGACGTCTGGCGCGATAATGTCCGCAAGCGCCGCCAACTCCTGAGCATGAGTGAGAGCGAGATCACCTGCCCGGCACACATTGTGACCGTCGTGTGCGCCGTAATTACCTGCCTGCTGGTGATTATGATCGCCATCAGCGTCCTGTACTACTTGCGCTTTGTGAAACGTCGACGCAAACTGCTCCACGAGCGCGGACCACTGCGCACGAGCAAGTCGATCATCAATGTGCACGACCGCATATTGCAGCACCAGGCGCGGGGCGCACCTGGCATGAGCCTAACTCTCGGTGGAGGCATGGGGGGCGGCGGAGGCTTGGCCATGAACTACACGCATCATGCGCAGACCCTACAGGCGCACCAACACTATCATCAAGCTATCCCGTTGCAGGGCCAGCCCCTGCATGCCAGCGGAGGCGGAGGGCACGACTATCAGCAGACGACGTTGCCGCAGCTCGATAAGCTGGAGCTGGAGCGCTACCTGGCCGCGCAGACGATCGCCAACGAATATCGTGCCTTGAAGCCGTGGGAGTTGCCCGGCAAGGACGCCGACGACGAGCCGGAGCATCTGTACGAAAAGTTTGACCACTACGATTACCCAGACACACAAACCATGACCAAGCTGAAGCAGGCGGCTGCGCTTCAGGTGGCGAGTGGAGCCGGCAATGGGGGCGGGGCCAAGCCCCACGTGGTCTATGTATGACGTGCCCGTAGTGCGCAGGTTGACGAGCTGGAAATGGTGGGACTGACCAACAACAACTACCGCAGCTACGTGCAATGCGCCAAGGCCAGCGGCCAGTTCTGAGGCGCTGAGCAATCGAGGGATGAGTGAAGAGTACAGAAAACAGGGAAAAACCAATGTTGAACAAATGTTTTTGTGTTTCGAGTAATGAGTGATGGGTATTGGATTTGCTCATGCATTCTGTTATATTTTGTTTTCAAGCATTGATGAAATTAATTGGAAATTAATTTTGCAACTCGTTGCGTTAACTTAAAACAAAGTTTAACAAGCGTCAAATGAAACAAGGGATATGTCTACGTGTGTATAGCAGCATTAATTAACAAATATACATAAAGTAATGGATAAACTAAATGAAAACTCTTATAGGCCTAAGAAATGAATGCAATTTCCCAACAAATTATAGTTAAATCTTAAGAAACTCTCATGCAAGCAGCGAAGAACTGCATAGATACAACAACAACAACAACAGCAGCAACTTTGCATTAACTACCCACTCATAACACAGCATTTACTTAACAGTGTAGTTAGCATTTAGCCTTTAAGCAAATCATAAAATGAATTTAATATAAATTTATAAATATTGTAAAATACCAATGCATTTTGTAATTATTTTGTTGTACTCGTATGTTTAGTTTGGAAGCACATTTTCAAAAAAAGATGACCGTTTCGTTTGCCATGATTGCAATAAAATGTTTTACTTCAGCTCAAAGCTAGAGAACACAGTTAATATGTCTTTATCTCTTCTGATACGCCATCTGATACTGACATTCGTTGAATGTCTCTAGATTATATTAAATAAATTGAGTATCATTCACACCAATTCTACCATACTCAACTTATTATTATTATTATCGGAAAGTTAGTGCAACCTCAAAATTAAACTTGAAACTATCACTGCTAGCTACAACAAAAAACTTAGCACTACTTAATAATAATAATAAAAAATCGTGTTGGAGAGAAACGGATAAAAGATAAAAGCTATATCGAGAACTCAGTTGAACCGTACAGCATCAATTGTAAATTAAAATTTATGTTAAATTAAGTTAATTATTTAATGTGTGTAAAAATAATTTGCATTTCGGCTGATTGCAATAGCTTTAAGCATTAACTGCAAATGAGGAAATGTGCGAAAGTCTGCATGAATGAGCGATATGTGAGCCGTTGTTGAGCCAAAAAATGGGACCAATTCATAAGACAAAGTCCGATTACAATATTCTGGCTTGGGAATAGCACAATGAGTGATTACTCTCATGAGCATTGTTATAACTAGAGGAGTTCTTCAAATAAATGCAAATTTGCAGCAGTCGAAGTAGAAGCTTTGTTACATTTTCTTTATTTCTACTATTGAAATAACTGACATTTCTATTAAACAAAATAATAAATATAAAAGGACAATATACAAAAAATAATTGTAAGCATAAAAATTGATGAACCTAGCAGCCATTCAACGATTTTGATTTTGAAATGTAAGCAACAGTAAATTGTAAATATACAGAAAAGCACTAAGAAAAACTATAGCGTAGCATACTATTTGCATAATTATTGTAAATAACTTATTATTGCATTTAAATGTAGTCAATCGATGAAGATAACAATTGTGTGTACTTTAAGCATTGAAAGTCGAGAGAAATGAAATAAAAGCAATATTGCGCATGCATTTTGGTGAGCAATAAAAAATTCAAGCCATTATTGTTTTCTGTTCTTTATTTTCGCAGGATATTAATACATTTCAAAATTAAATTTCATGCATAGATAGCAATGCAAATAAACATAGCTCAACTTTAATTTGCATAAAAATTGTTTTGAATAAATGGCAGACTACAAAATAAATTAAATCAAAACGCAATGAAATGAAATAAACAAACGAAAACAAAATGCAAAAGAAAAAACAAAAATGATACCAACTGCATGCAAGCAAAATGCATTTGTTAATTAAATGCAACTCAAATACTATATTGATGAAAACATATGCTCGTATATGTGTACAAAAGGTCGCACTCCAATTAAGTGAGTTAAGCAATTTGAAACTTATATAAAAAGATTTAATTGAATGATAAAGCAAAAATACGACAACAACAACCACACAAAGAGAAAATAAACAAACAAATAGAATACAAATGTTATTTCTTATACGAAGACTGAAGCAAATAAAAATTCAATAAAAGACAAACCTTTGAATTCTTTTCGCAAATACACTTAAAGGAGAAGCTTATTCCCTAAAATACTTCATGGACGTTTCAAAGAGCTATTTAGCTATTTTAAGTGCAGAAGCTAACGAATTTAAAACAAGAGTGGAATAATGGAGTCAAGCGGGCCCAACTCTTACATACCCTACACCAGCTTAAATAAAAAATTGCATTTATTTTATATACCCCTTACCCAAGAAGGTGAAAGGGTGTATTAGTTTAGTGCGAGTGTACATGAAACACACAGAAGGAGGCGTGGCAGACCCCACAAAGTATATATATTTTTGATTAGTATGACAAGATGAGTCGATATAGTCCGTCTGTCTGTCCGTTGGATCTCAAAAAGTATAAAAGCTCGAATAACCAAACTTGGTATCCAGAATCTCCGAGAATGGACAAGTTTATTTTGATATTTTATTTTTTTCCCCACTCTCCATTATTAGTGATTTTTCATTACATCCGTAATTATTGGACTGTTTTTCAAATATATTAGGTTAGTGCGTATGTGTCCTCATGTGAAGTTTCACCATGATCGATCTCATGTGAAGGAAGTTATAGCCATAAGTGTATTCCCTACCTAGCTCTACCCGCAGCTGTTGTTGATGTCGCTGCTTTGACTCAACTCTGTACTGCAGCAAGACGTTCTTAAGGGTACTTCTTGACGCGGGTCTCTAACTGAATTCGCCGAATGATTTCTTAACAGAGCGAACTCCGCGTTTTGGTTGCGGTGCAAGCCTTAGTCTTCGTGGGCATATCGAAGGGCAATACTCTATATGTGGATGGCGCCAGGATCGAGATCTTAATTGTGTATTCCCAATTTGCATTACAATATCAACGAATCGTCTTTGAATGATAATCTATCCGAAGCTACAAGTATATTTAAATTAGTAAATACTTTTAAGGTAGCACTGCTGCTACAACGAGGCAATTTATTAAACAAGCAGCTCATCGCCCATTTGTGAATCTTTTAGCAAATTCGTGACCATTAAGTTATTTATGCCTCAGCATCACTTAACTTTATGGGCATTCGGTGTATCTGTGGCAATTTATCTGTTTCTACGTATCTAACACATGTACGAGTTAGTATGTGCCTATAAAGCAAGAGCGACTAACTGCAACAATTTGTTTTGCCACAATTTCCTAAATGGCCGTGTCCGCAATTAAAATGGTCACAAAGGTCGTCAACTGCAGAGCTGGCAGCATAATCAAATGCTTTGGCCATTTTGTTATGAGCGTGTATGTGTGTGCATACACGTATGAATGTGTGAGTGGCTCATAAAGCTCATTTAATGACCAACACTCAAACATGAATTTCGTCAAACAGTTTTCCACACTTTATGACTTATTGCTCATTCATTTATGCAATAACAGCAATGAAAACGGGGGCGATTCGCAAAAACGTTTCTAGTTAATTAAACACGCCAAATCGCAATCGTTGCTATGCAAGAGTGCCAGGTATAAACAGCGAAATGTTTCATCAACATTTAGTTTTAAGTGAAAATACTAAATTGTCAAAATATAAATTGCTTTACATTATTCTCCCACCACCTCATCCTAAACATCCTAAAACATGCGCAGGTGTTTCGCCGAGCTGGGATTTGTTTGAAGAGTGCGTATCTAGGTCTGACAATTCAGACAGCAGTTAGCTCTATGTTGGCTTCGGCGCAAGCAGGGAGCGTTAGCGGAACGTTTTGGCCAGTACATGCTTTGGGGCATTTTTCTGCCTTGCCAAATAAATGCGCGGCAATCATTCAAAGCTCATTCGCTGGAGATTTGTCGTCTGCCGAGCAAGTTGAACAACTCAATGAGTGGTAGGCCGAACGAAAGTAAGTACGTGTGTGCGGGAGGGGTTGTAAGTGGAGAGAGTATGGGGGTGGGGGGGTAGTCCGCGTAAGCATTCGAGGTGGTTGGCGTGCAAGCAGCTGTGAGGGTGGCTTGCCTTTAGGCTTCGGGCATGTTAATTATTTAGAAAGCATGTAAATTTATTTACTAAATTGTTCAGGCTTTGTGTTGTTGTTGTTATTGTTTGCCCTTTTGTTAAGATTCACTTGATTTTTCTCTGTTTCCAGCTAAGTAGGGCTGCCATTCGCTTTTATTTGCATCTAAGGAGAGCCCTCTGGTCATGCGGCATGCTGGCTGAAGGGTTGCTTCATTGTACTAGAGATTGCAGAATACACATGCAGGCTTGCTTCAGAACAAAATCGCTGCAGCCTGGTCAAACCTTAGACAACAATTGTCATGGCTATACCCTGTAGCGAAGGGTATAGGCTTGGGATTCTTCTCCGACACCATCATCTTGGTACCACGAACGATTAAGGAATTCGTAGTTTATTATTTTTAGAACGCGCTTTTGCAGCATTTCTAGTCACCCATGATGGCACAATTCTCATGCTGTAAGCCAACACTGAACTGTAATATTTTACTTACTCTTGCTTATAAATATTTACTGTCCAACACTGTCCCTGCTCCCCACCCTCTGACATGGCAATTGTTTGGCTTGGTCCCCTCCGGATCTATGTACTTCCAGAGTTGTTTTGTGTTTTGGTAGGCGTTTCAAGTTACTTGTGAACAACTCTGGCTCTCGCTACATTTATTCTGTTCCTTGTGAAGTTTATTTTACTTGTATTTGCCCATGTTTTCCTACTCCTTGTACAAAAATATACGCTGGGCATACTCGCCCACATATTTTACGAGTATTTGCTCTCCTTGACTGTCTTCTGCTCCTGCACTATTTGTTTTTCAGCATTGCCAGGGACCTGGCAAGTGGGCCACCAC